TTTTTTTTCATCAATTAAAATGAGAATAGTCCATACAGAGTGTGCAAACATTTCAAAATCATGAGTTGAAAAACGCTAACTCCGCCAGATTAAATATTAGAGCCTAACACAAAGCGGAGCGGCGGCGACGCACTGGCGCCTACAAACCTAATAGGGATATTTCACGCATTGCGCAATGCGTGAGGTATCCCTGTTAGGTTTGTAGGCGCCAATGCGCGTTTTGCGCTCTCTGCCCGCCCGCCGCGCCGCAGCGTGCCACGGCGTCTGAAGCAACTATTTCACACCAGAGGTATTGCCCAGTATCACAGGAAATTGAAGGTTCTCCAACATATTAAGAATGACTGGCATCCTTCAAAAGTACGAAGCTTTCCTCGCAAAATAAATCAAGATACTACGGCACAAAAAGAGAGCGGTAGTCCAAAAACTAACTAAGTCCTATAGTATCCGTATTTAGTAACGTTTAGCATAAACTTTATCGTCTGGCTGTTGCTTAATCGCCATCGGCTATAAAAGGCTATAAGAAATTGTACAGCCGGCTACAGAAGCTATTGGAAATCTTACAGCCGGCTTTAGGTCTATAGTATTTTGGAACACACATTTCTACTGCCAATTTTTACCAGGGAAGGCATGAAAAGTACAATTTTAAAACATGTTATTGGCACGTTCCACTAATGGGATTGATTAAAACCTACTTATCCTTTTCTTTCTCTTGTTTTTGTTGTACTCTGTTTAACAACTAACCCTCAAAAAAGCCTTTCCCTACGATACAATTTCACAGTTGAAAAAGCTTCCAGTGAATGAAGGGAGTAAGTGAGATTACTGAAAAATCAAAATACCTGTAGCGGTGATTTTGAACAAATCTCATCTCAAAATACCATTTTAAATATTTTTTTTTTTTTTTTTTTGCTGCAAGACCCCACGTAACTTTTCAACATTAAAATCGTCTTTCTAAAAATCACAAAAATGTTACTTATACTTACCTCCTTCATTCGCTGGAGCTTCAACCTACCCTTTGGTACACCCAATATTCATTCATAAAATGTGAAGTGTAAGTACGTATCTGTCAGTGCTTTATAGAAAGCACACATAAAGAATGTATTGAGGAATGCGACTTCAAGTATTTTTACATGCGCGTATACCGCTCTTTGAGACCTCAAAAATCAAACTTAAAAAAATCAATTTTTCGCTAAAAACTACGGAAAACGGCCTTCTGGTACGCTGTAATTTTCAAAAATTTTCCGGGGGGGACCCCCGAACCCCCCGCCTTCCTGGGGGGTATTCCATACCCCCCAGACCCCCCGGCGTGGGGGGCGCCAAAATCTGGGTTTGCACCCCCCTACGTGAAACGTAGATCCGGCCCTGCTGACTGAATCTTTAAATTAATTGGAAACTCAAATTTACCACAAATCTTACTCGACCGAAAACCTGATCTAACCCTGCTAACTAATACTTTAGTCAACCGGTGATCTTACCCACCGGAAATTAAAATCAATCGACCAATCGTCCGGCCGAACTTTACTTAACCGGAAATCGACAACCGTAAACTCTGCTCGACCGGAAACGTGCTCCAATTGAAAACTTGACCCAACTGGAAATTCGATCCAACCTGAAATCTGACACATACCAAAATTCCGATTCACTGGAACCGTAATCCATCCGTATATGGCGTGATCGGAAATTAACCCAACTGGAAACTGTTTCCAACCTGTAATGTGTTCCTGTCGAAAATTTGACTCGACTGAAAATTTGATTCGATCGGAAATCTGATCGACCGGAAACCACAATCAACGGGATTCGTTGTCCACCCGAAATTTCACTTGACCGGAAATCGAAAATCTTAATTTCTACTCCACCCGAAATGTGCTCCAATCGAAAATCTGACTCAACTGGAAATCGACCCGACCGGAAATGTGTTCCAACCCAAAATTTGGTTGTTCTCGGATGGAGAATAACCAATTCCAATACCAATACATCATTGATTTTCCTAAAAAATCTCAAAAATTCGTTACCCTCGATTGATATATCGATCGGTTAACGTTGAAAATCGATTCTACAAGAAAAAATACGTAGGTGTCGGTGTACTACAGACATATTAGGTGCATTTCGTCATCCATGAATCAAAATTGAAGAATTTTAATCGCAAAAAATCTTCAATTTTCCGTAAAGAATCTTAAAAAATCGACATAACCGATCGATATATCGACTCGTCAACATTAAAACTCGATTTTGCGTGTGAAAATACGTAGGAACCGGTATGTATATCATGTGTAAACAACGATAACAATCCCGTAGGCACATCAATTCAACAGGAAAATAGCGAAGAATAAGGCCGGAGTTTGACCCATTTGCCCACCCGTAACTCAAAAACGGCTCCTTTACCCATCTTGAAATTTTTTCCTGAGTTTTCTGTTATTATAAGCTTCCACTTAAACTTTGGTTCGATGGTCGAATCGAACACCGAAAAAGGGGCGAAATTTTGGGAGGCTCTTTGTTGGTCAAGTTTACCATCCGTTTATTTTAGACTTCAAAAAAGTCAAGCACTTTCAAAATATTCGCTTTTGCCATTAATGAATTCAGAGGTTTAATGTAGAATTTTAGAGCTTAAATTGCATGCTGTGCATAGAAATCGGGACACTGTATTGATTGAATAGTCGATTCGTGATTAAATTACTTTTATGCTGCTCCAAATGCAGCTTCCAACGGCACCAAAATTAGTGTGGATTTTCGTGCTTGAGATAATGAGCTGCTGAGAGCAATACTGCCGTGCTAAAGAAAAACGCCGTTTGAGCAATTATGCGTTGTCAAATTTTCTTCGATAAAATACGGATTTCCTGGTAAACTTATGAATCTATTTCTTCCGATTTTTCAGAGAATATGGTTTGTATTTTGATCTATAATTCCTGAAAATTTCAAGGAAAAGCATTCATAATTTTACTCATAAATAAACCTTTTATCGAAGGAAATTTGGCAACGCTCGAATGTTCATACGGCGTTCCTTATAGCACGGTAAAGTAGGTGTCGGTCTAATTAATCGCGGTTTGATTAGTTAAGTTCCCTCCTACACGCAAGGTCCTAGTTTTATCTCATGTGCCGATAATCAGAAAGTCAGTCGGAGCTTATTTCAAACCTTTGAAATGTGTTTCCTGAAATCATGAAAATCAACTCCGTAAATCTCAATTGCTCTTCATAGAGAGAACGATTGCCGAACAAAAATTTACAAAAAGGAACATCCGTTTTCATTTTGAATTTTATTAAAAAATTATATTTCAAAACAACGTGAAATGAACATAGAAAAATATCACGAAAAGACTTACAAGTAACACCAATAAATACTTAGGAAACAGATGAGAAAAAAGATAGCTGGACAAAGCTATGGATACAGGTGGTGATGCAAGAATCATTCTTGCTTGGCATGACCCACGATGTGGTACTCAATTTACTCGTATTAATTTCATACATTCGCATTTTGTACTTTAAAGTCACAAATTCTTCGGTTTCTCTGCGGTATAACTTTTAGTTACAGGCTTATCGATTGCGATGGAAGAAGAGTATTTTACATCATTTTAAAAATCAATTTGAAAATTTGATCCGGAAAGATGTGTATTAATGCCCTAACACGGTTTACAAACATGTTCCGTACTATAAATGCACCCAAAAAGATAATTTTGTTTCCTATATAATGAGTCTAACTTCTTATGTTTAACTCAATCTAAAGTTCATCGGTCAATGTGCATTTATGATTTGAGCAAACACTGATGAGATCTATTCAAACGCCAAGGAAGATGACGTATTTTGAAAAGCCGAGTGGATAACGTCATCCAAAAAGTTCTTCAAATGTTTGCATAAATTATTCGATATTTTTAATTTTGAACACTGATGACGTTTGAGTTGACATTATCATTATTTGCTTGTGTGCACGATTCCGAGGGAGAAAACTGAAATCACATTTAAACTATCATTGCTCCAAAGGAAATTTTTCCACGCCAAAGTAAAGACTTACTCGCTATTAGTAATATTTCAGTTTTGACAACGGAAGTTTGAAGTTTACCTGTCGTGAAGGTCTGGATACACGACCCAAGTCCAAACCAATTCTGATCAAAGTAGACCAGTTGATGATTGACGGTCACTATGCAACAGTCCTCTTTGATCAAAAATGGGCGGGCTGTCAAATTTTGATCAGAATGGAGTGCCACCATTCACCATTACACGAAACATCTCTGCTAAGTTTTCATTTTAAAACTAAGCAAAGTAATGGAATAAGAACAATGACTTCCGACTTTTCGATGATGATCGGTTCGGGACTTTGATCGTGTATCGAGACTTCAACTAAATTGCTATGGTCGCGGTGGTGGAGAGCAGTAGATTTCAGTGAGAATTTCCTTTACGGAGGAGAAATTTATCCTTCCTGTGGCAACAATTTATCTTCTCGGATGCAGCAACTAAACGGCTTTTGTGATAGATGCAACTGACCAATGGGCCACTAGACAAGGTACGAATTTCAGCATTCTGATACATGTTTCTTAATTAAAATTTTACGTAGAATACGACGCGCACAACGAAAATTACCAAAATCAACTCCTTCCAAAGATACTAAATGATTCTTGATGCGTGAATTCAAACCACCCGCTCATGAAAACTCAATGCTCTGCGTGATTCACATCGTGCGCTAAAAATTATCATGACAGTCTCTGCGATATAAAAGTCTGGCAACCTCAATCTTGACACTTTGGCTCAGCTGTAGCAAATGTTTTATACTTTGAACAACACATGGTGGGAAATGAACATTACTAGATTGAGAAGTTTGTTGAAACCGTTGTAGTGCGCGATTTGGCTCACGTAGAGCTTTGAGTTTCTTGTCAGCGGGCAGTTCAAATTCCTCGGAACAAATGTGAAATAAAAATGTTAATATCTTCGTTTGGATTTTGTTTCATTAGTTTTCGTTTCAAAAATCGTGCTTTACGTGAAATTTTGGTTAAGAAACATGTATCAGAATGCTTAAATTCGTACCTTGTCTAGTGGTCCATTGGTACTAATACTTCGTGAGTGATTTTGGCAAATTTAGAATCGAAAGGGAATCGTTTAAAACAGTTTGATAGGTCAAAGTTGGATGTTTTGAAGGTTTTGCAGAGGCAGGACGTCCTTCTGCACACGTTTATCTTTTCTTCCGCGGGTTCCACTTTTCGAATGATTCATCTGATTAAAAGTCTCCAAAGCCTGAGCTCCGCTCATCTCGTGTACGACTGATGATCTGCTCAACTATCAACAAAACATACCAAAGGATGAATTAGTAACTTTCAGTAGCCTACCGACACTGCCGTGATAGCGAAGAGAACCGTAAGTGCAAAAATGAAGTTTTGAGAAAACGGGCTCAGAAGCCTCTGACAAGAACATTTTATTGAAAGAAGCCTCCGTTCTTTGTCAAATTGCCACTAATCGTCCGGAAGACTCCCAGAAATCGTATGGATGATTAAAAATCGACTGATTTTATTTCCATTACATAAAAAGGGTATTTTTCATTTTCATGCTAGGTTATCGTCAGGCAAGACAGCCGTAAGTGCTATCTTCTGCATGCTTTCGTGGTTGCGTTTTGAATGCACAACAAACACATTTTCAGGTTAGAAATTGGCAGAAGAGGGCGGCACTTTCCTGGAAAGCACTGTTCTCATTGGCTCTCATGCATCTACGGCTGTCTTGAAAAAAAAACCGTGTCATTTTTTGTGCACTTACGGCTTTTACATACGTCTCGTTTTCATTAAATTAGGATGAATTTTGCTGTTTTAGCTGTCTCAGTAATTTCATGTAAAAGAGTTTAGACCAATTTTGAAGAAAACTCGATTTCGTAAATTTTGCACTTACAGCTCTCTTTGCTATCACGGCAGTACAGCGCATAATGTTTTACAGCACAGTTGCTAAAACTGACATACAGTGGCGTTTCCTGCGTTTTACTGTATCTCAAATAAGTTTGAGAGTATTTTTTATTTTTTAATTATTTTTTTTCTAAAGTATTCTTGTATCGTAAATTGTTGAGGCTTGAATATAAAAAGCAGAGATAATGTTAAAATCGTCAGATTTGAATTTAATGGGCCTTGCTTCGAAGCAAGCATTGTCCAGTAACAAGACACCAAACTCGAGTATGGATAAATATTTGGTGCACAAACACTGTCCCCTGGCCTTCTTAAGGACTTGAAGGCAAAATAGTGTGTAAATTTTGTACTGCCATCGTACCTCGTGCCAAGTCTACTTCCTATACGTTTTCAGGCAAAAAACGCCACTGCTTATGTTTACTGTGCTAGGGCTGATATGGACGTTTTTCCACTAAACGAAACCAGAGACAGGTGGGAAAAAAGGGGTGTGCAGCTCGTTAGTCGAGAGCCGTTGCCAATTAATGGGGATCATAAAGCGCCAGTGACCTCAGCGTGGATGAAGGGGTCGAGGGAATCGACGTTGTCGCTCTTCAACTCATGAGCCCTGTCCATAAGGCTCTGTCACATACCCATGGCTCATGAGTGCCGCATTCAGATGGCGCTTGGTTCCGTTTGGTAGAATTTAAACTCCTGAATTTCAAATTCCCCAAAGGAAATCACGCCCACTTTGACATTGTTTCCTATACAGATTCAACGAGCAAACCCCATCTTTCCCACTTGTCTATGGGTTCGTTTAGCAGAAATACGTCCATATATTAATAACAGTTTTGCGAATGTCATGAGTTTTTAATGCTTTGAAAATCAGTTGCATTGTTTACCCATGTCTTTGGGGACTATCTTTTCTTATCTTGATTATGTAGCATCAGGCCCAAGATATTGGACTCTATGCTCATCCTTGATATACTTGCCTATTCATTTCGTCCAAGATCTTGGACTCCACGCTCATCGCTGTACTTCTCACTTCTTTGCTTGAGCATGGAGTCCAAAAGCAAGCAGACCTCCCTTAGTTTTATAGGTCATTGTGATAGGAAATCGTATGCTTGGCTTAATTTAACTTGAACTAACTTAACCTAACCTAACCTCACCTAACCTAACCTAACCTAACCTAACCTAACCTAACCTCACCTAACCTAACTTTACCTAACCTAACCTAACTGAACCTAGGCAATGTACAATTTTTTTCGAGGACACATTTTTTCGCCTTTATTTCACAAAAATTGTCTTAATAAATTTTTGGACCATATGCTCGTGTATTGTCAGAGAATACCTGCATCTCACAATTTTGGACGCTATACTCACTTCAATTTTTCGAAAAAATTATCCCTAATTAAAGTGAGCGAGGATTCCAAGATCTTGGACGTGATGAGCAACCGAACATTATATAGCTGAGCATTGAGTCCAATGTCATGGACGCGATGCTACATTACCCTTATCTTAATGGTTCAGTACTTACTTAGTGGGGGAAAACGGGAGGGCAGCTCTCAAAATGTATGAACCTGTGGCGAATTTACAATCAACTGTCAATTTGATCCCTTCGACGTTCGCTATAACAAACTGATCACCCCTGGTAGACTCACTTCCGTGTGGAAGTTATTCCCTTTCTTCTGCTCATTCTCTCGCTCGCGCCTCTGCAAAAAGCAGAACACCCTCGGTCACATTTTGCCCAGAAAAAGAAAAAATAAACATGGAAAGAGAAATAGATGATAAACATTAAGAGAGAAAGAGGAGATAAACATTAAGAGAGAAAGAGAAGATACACATGAAGAGAGAAATAGAAGATAAACATGAAGAGAGAAATAGAAGATAAACATTAGGAGAGAAAGAGAAGATAAACATTAGGAGAGAAAGAGAAGATAAACATTAAGAGAGAAAGAGAAAATAAACATGAGAGAAAGAGAAAATCATAATTAGAACGACAAGAAAGAAGAGGGCTGGGATGAGGTGAATTTAGCGCCACCAGTTTTAAACATAATCGCTGTGCCAAGAATAATGCAACGGTTTGTTTTGACAGCTAAGGTAGCAGATGTTGAATTGCAGTTTTTACAGCCTCTTACATGTTGGATTTACCGAAGTTTGACCAGCGGAACTTCAGGGGAAGATTCATCGGCTCAAGATAAGATTTTATTTTTCTATGAGCGTGCAATGAAGTTCAACATGTCGAGGCTGCGCCCTCCCCCTTTCCAATTTCTTAGAAAGATATCCATTTTTTTTTCATATTCCGGGCAATTTTCGATCAATTATAGGGAAGATTTTCAGTAGTAGTAACGTCCGTCGTCCGGTGCTCAATTGAATTGTTATATAGGTCAAAAGATGTTGACTTGTTAATTCAGGTTTTGGAAATTCCTCAACACAAAGTACAAATATGATTTTGGCCAATTTGCTGGATCTGCCAATACCCATACCACTCTGATCACTTTCGGCGAACATATTGCCTATATAATCACACTCGATTTCAAACCGGTATCTCACGGGGGAAAAAATAATTTAAGGCAATGATTGAATACCTACCGATACAGTTGTGACTGCCGAGCACGACTGCCAGGGCTTTTTTTTGCTAATATGACACTGACGCCACTTTTTTGCTATCGCTGTTGTCACCTGTTGGTAAAAAATGAGCATAAAACCACCATTAATTTCATTAATATGATTTTTTTATAGTAACTCAATTGGACACATTTATACTAAATAGGTCTGTCTACGTTGGTAGTTTTGAGAAAAGACAATAGATAATAATACAAGGCTGGTAACATACGTTACATGCCCTTTCTTTTCGAAGAATCGGCTAATTTTGAGAGTTTTCTTTTTAAGCTGTATATTCACATATAAGACAATTTTTTGGTAATTTATCTATTAAGAGGCTTGGAGGACAAGGCGCACATAAGTGCAGTTTTTGAAATAATTCAGGTATTCATGAGCTCAATTAAAGCTAGTTTGAAAGCATATTCTATGAAACATTCACAACTAAAATTCAACCGTAAAGCTTCAAAAAGTGAGTTTAAACTTCCTTTCTGACGTAAGGCTCCATGTAATTTTGAAATTTTAAACACGTCTTTCTTTAAATATCAAAAACTGCACTTATGCGCTTTTCTCCCGAGCCCCTTATTTGATAAAATGTGAATTTTCCAGAACAAGTATGAATGTTTTTTTTAGAAGAGGGTCCTATTTGCACTCGAATGAATTGTAACTGAAGATTTAAAGGAGCAATTATTATCTGATGTTTAAGTTAATTAGGCCACATCTTCCCGGAATTAAAAATTATTTGACTGGCCGAGGGGAGCGGGACCATAAAATCCACATGGCGCAACATTCAAATTTACAGAGGACTTTCTCCATTATCGCGGCGGCACAGGCTCGAAGGAATTCAGAATCAAAATCCCTTCACCATACCACGTTTCCTCTGACCTATTTTGATAAAGTCCCTTGACTTTTGAGGCGACCCAAGACAAGATGACAAAAGATATTTCGAGAGTAAAAAAATGCGTAACTCTGATTAGCGGCTTTGAAAGTCTCCGCTCATTTTTACCTTATAGAGAATATAAAATCGGAGTCTTTTAAAGGTTGCACCTAAGATACGATTTTTTTTTACTTGACCATGGATTTGTTAGATATTTTAAATCTGACCGAAAAATACGCTGATACTAATGTGATGCGAGACGTGCGTATTTGCCATTTTTATGAACTCAATTTTTCTGTCTTTTGGGCCCTTCTGCTCAAATTTTTTGACTTTTCTAGGTGTTTCGTGACGAATTTCTTTCCCGTGAGTCTCCAAGGGTAGTCTTGCCTGCCTCTTTCAATCCAGAAACAACAGTTTCTTGTCTCTGGAAGGGAGTCCGCGAGACTTTCAGAACACGAGCCTGATCGTCATACAAGGTGCGGGATCCGGGAGATGTCTAATGGACGAATGATGCAAATAAATTAATCGACGTTCTAGTGATTCAGTCAACTTCAGTCTTAACTAGGTAAGTTATAAAAATTTCGCCCAAAGTTCCTGGAACCACGCTCGTGTGGAGAAGGCCTAAGTTATGGTCCTTTAGCGACGACAAAGTTCCTGTGTCCCCCTTTTTTCGGAAGCCTTTAAGCTCCACATTCGCCGAAAAAAAGCGAAGGAACTATAGCTGTGGTTTCACCTTAAATATTGCTAACATAAATCAAAACAACTCACCTCTCCATTGCAGAAACAGAAAAGTAGTGCCACGCAGAGGCCCTGTGAACATACATTAAATGAGATGTTTTAGTGGACGTACGCACGAGAAAAATTATTTTGGTTACATGGACCTATCCTCAGTGTATACGGAACTTCAAAGTTGTCGGTTATGTCGGTAGTGGCAATGAAACCAGGTTTTTTGAGGTGTTAAACAAAATGGACATAAAGTAGAATCCCGATTTTTCACAGAAATTGGGACCAGAGTTATCGGGGATAATCAAAAAACGCGGATAGGCCGAGCTTACGAACTAGACCAAAAAAATGATGTATAAGTTGTTTTTCTGCATTTAGTGCAGTGCCTGGATTCAGATTGCCTGGCAAATTGAAAAATAAATCAGCCCCATGAAGAAAGAGACTAAATGACTTTTGACCACCTGGACTGTCATTTTCCGTTTGATCGTCTCTTCTACCTTCTTTTCATCCAAGATAATAAAATGTCAATGCCCCAGACGACTGCGTCCAATTTGACAGCGGACAACAGGGGTGTTCTGCCATACCTCATATAAGGTAGGATGGAATTAAAAAGGTGAGCAAAAAAATGGCGATTAAACCATACTTTTAAGCATCACAAGTATCCCTAATTATGAATATGACTGAAACAGATTTTGACAAAAAACTGACCGAATTTTGATAAAAGAATACCTCATAAATTACAAAAGTGAGAGTAAGCTTGTCGTAGAGTAGAATACTCTAAATTTTTTAGGGAATGGATAAAAGTGTCTTAATTAAAAGTAATGATTTATTTTCAGATTCTTGCACAGTTATAGACCTGGACTCCAATGTGGAGTTATATTGCGAAGATGAATTATCTGGTCCTCGATTGCCTTATACAGCATTTTTTCAGCATATAGAAAAGCCTCAATCGGCTGAGGAGAGCAAACCTCATAAAATGGGGCTATATGATGAAAAATGGGAATGTAGGACGTTCCAATTTCCGAAATTTCGCTTTTCCTTTGAAGTTAGGTTTGAAAATAAGGGACATCGTGTGAGAAAAAAATAATGAATGGAGGTAATTTTGCAGAAGTGCAGCACGGAAAATGACAACGTTGGATTCGCTGCAAATATAATTACAGTGAATGAAACTTGTAACGATTCAACTCGTGTGTGACGATCGTAAATCAATGTAGGAGCGGAAACATAGCTTGGCTTGTGCTTCGCAGCAATATTTTCAAATTAGACGGGCGGAGCGCCATTCAAAACCGGTAAAAAGCTGCTTCGGGTCTCATTCAACATCGTTGTCTTCGGATTTATCGCTTTTGTTTTTATCCTCGAAATATCGTCGAAGAAAATCTACGGCTTCACAAGTGTGTGCTTCGGAATTGGGTGCATTGATCGCGGGGATCCTCTGTAAGAGGCTTATTCGCCGACGGAGGAAAGCACAATGTTAGTGGTTATTACTACCGTGCTGAGGAAAAACGCCGTATGAGTTATTAGGCGTTGCCAAATTTCCTTCGAAAAATCACGAATTTCAGGGAAACTTATGAATAGCTTTTATCCACTTTGCCAGAAAATTTTACTTGTAATTTGATGTGAAAAGTCTGGAAATTTCACGGAAAAATATTCATAACTTTCTCCAAAAATAATTTCTTGCCGACAGAGAAAATCACAATGTTAGTGGTTATTACTGACGTGCTAAGGAAATAGGCCGTATGCGCCATCGGGTGTTGCCAAATTTCCTTCGAAAAATCACGAATTTTCAGGAAAATTTATGAATATCTTTTATCCAATTGGCCAGAAAATTTTACTTGTGATTTTATGTGAAAAGTCCGAAAATTTCATGGAAAAATATTCTTAACTTTCTTCAAAAATAATTATTTTTGAGAGGTAATTTGGCAACTCTCGAATGTTTATACGGCGTTCTTTCTTGTTAGCGTGGCAGATTAGGGGGCGTTTAAGTACTACGCATGCAGGGAATTTTCACGGATACAAATTTTCTGTTAAATCAATGGGAATTATAATTAATTGTTAATAACTTGTGCTCTGCACATACCGATGACGAAAATGGATGGTTATAGGACATTTCGTTAAGGATTTTTTGTCCGCGCACCAGTTTTTTCCAGTAGTTCCCGTCCACGCGTTTTTTCGGCACGGGAGTTTTAGGTCCACGTGCCAGTTGAGACCCAAAGTTAATTGACCCACATGTAAATACAAACGATAATTGCTCACGACGTTTTTGGATGAAAATGTATGTCTTGGAAGAATGAAGGTTTGCTTGTTTTTTTGTTTTGTCTGTTTGGTCCAACGGAGAATATTATATAGTTGAGAGTTTTGGTAAAAATGGGGGAGCGCCAATTCCATGAGAAAAAATTCACTAAAACTCTCTACACCTCTTGGTGTAGCAGGACTTAATTATCTTTCAAGAAATTCCCACCTTGTTATACCTGTACCGGATAAACCTCTATATTTGCCTCAGCTAAAGGCTCTTAGATTTTTCCTGTGTACGATAAGTATCTTGATTTATTTTGCGAGGAATAATCTGTACTTTTATAGGATGACTGTCATTCTTAATACGTTCAATTTCGTATAATACTGTGCAACACCTCTGTTGTGAAATAGTTGCCTCAGGCGCCAACGCACGGCAGGCGGTCGGTCAGCGCGACATTGGCGCCTACAAACCTAAGTGGATACTTCAAGCATTGTGCAATGCGTGAAGTATCCACTTAGGTTTGTAGGCGCCAGTGAGCCTCTCGCGCTGGCAGCAGTGCACGCCGCGCCGCTCCGCTCTATTAGGCTTTAATATTTATACTCGCAAAGTCAGCGTTTTTTAACTCATGATTTTGAAATGTTTGCACACTCTGCATTGATTGTTTTCATTTAAATTGATGGGAAAAAATATATATCAATTTATCAAAAAAGAATAATAATATAATGTGTGTTTTTTTAAATATAGGTAGTCCCTTGTCACTGTTGCTTATTTTACGTGTGGGCGTAAACTACTGGACAAAAAAGTCAAACAAAATGTCCTGAACCCAAATGGTTCAAATTTTTATGATGATTGTAGAAATTTTTTCCCATTAATTTTTGGGCAATGATGACGAGATTTTTCAGCAAAAAAATTGCTGACTACCAGTTTATGAAAGTACTAAAACAGTCCACTCTTAGACACTAATGTCCGGTTTGTTTCCTGAATAGTTTCAAGAGCCAACATCGTTATGAGGATGACAAATTTTGGTTGTTTTCCTCTATTCTAAATGAAAAGTCTTTATTGCATTCATCAAGTTTCAGTCAGCGAAGTTAGTTCATGTCTTGCTGCACAACGTAAGTTCAAGGAGCAACCACGATGTGTTACTGGGAAAACTCTTTCCTGATTTCGGGACCTAACCTTTGCCCTTCTATAGGATGCTTTGAGCAAACTTCGGCTCCATTATCCTATCCAGTTCAATTTGATCATATCGCATCATCGTGATACCGGCGCACAGTGGATCGAGTCAATCAGAGAGAACGGACTTGAATTTTCTGACTAAAACTGCACATTTTTATGTTTAATTCATCACATTATAATTTTGAAGTGCACTGAAAACAAATTCTCGGCGTTTTTACCAAGGTCCGTTGGTACCTTTACAATCTCACTTTTTTTACCAATTATTGGTAATTTTACCAAGACAGACTGGTTAGCTTACCTATAAACCGGTATTTTTACTGTTTTTTTCAGGTAAGAATACCACTTTTATTGGTAATCGATTCCCGGTAACTTTGCCATTTTATCTCGGTAATTCTACCACAGTCGATAAAAAATATTAGTGTTTTTACCGGGGTCCAGTAAAATTACCGAGAAAGTCAATAATTTTACCGAGATTTCTTGGTAAAATTACCAATCCCATAAATGGTAATTTTACCGAGAAAAAACTGGGATCAAATAGAACCCTGAATTCTTGGTAATTTTACCCTTTTCTTAGTAAATACACCGAGATTTTTCTTTCAGTGTGGTGCTTTTAAAAAAAACTTTCACGAGGCAACCAATGGAACCACTTTTAAAATATCAAGGGTTCGTATAAACGGAGTTATACACTTTTAAAGCTTCCAAATTTTGACCGACCTCCCCAATTGACTCCATCCACTGTGCGGTGCGCTGCAATAATCTCATTTATCCGCGACTCAGCTTCGAAAGGAATGAGTGATGGTAGGCATGTCGTCGCTCCTCTGACGTAAGGGCGTATCTCAATTTTCACGTGAGCCCTGAAAAGCATGGGGTTATATGAAGAACAGGGCTCACGTAGAAATTGAGATACGCCCTTACGTTAGAGGGGCGACGATGTGTGCTGCCGTGTCAGGAAGATGGTCGTATGAGCATTCGTAGGTTGGTAAACTTCCTTTTATAAATATTTCTTTTTGGAGAAAGTTACGAATAATTTTACTTGAAATTTTCAGATACGTTAGATTGAATCGCCGACAAAATTTTCTAAGAATTTGAAGCAAAATATACACAGCTTCTCAGGAAATATGTGTTTTATCAACAGAAATTCGGCAACGCCCAGAGGTTCATACGACGTTCTTTCTTAGCACAGCAGTATGGAAGTATGTTGAGGCTGACTCGTGTACAAAGGAAAAGCTTTCGCGATAGAACTGGGAATGAATTTGATCTATACAAGGTGAGTGCATAACCTAAACCTTGCTTTCAAACATATTTTCTGCTCCCTCTTTGTCGGGAATATCCTAGAATCTTCCCCAGGTTTTTATTTCCTTTCCGATGGATCAAAAAGAAGGAGCTATTTTTCTTGTTTACCTAAGCCGAGAATAGATTTTCGATCTGTTTAACTAAATAAAACCCTCAGTTGGGGAAAAATTTGGTCAGAGAGCGTATGAGAATTGCGATGATGCTAAGAATATATTACTTTGAGCGTTTCAAGAACTCTGCCATGTCTTTCCCTCAAAATAAGCCCTAAATTTTCCCCTCATTTTTCTGTGAAAACAATATTATTATAAGATAATTAATTTTTCTGCAAACGGCGTGTAAAACTGCACAATTTTATAGGACATTTTACCGTTGGTGTCCACAATAATTATAGGAGCCACATAAATTTGACAGACAAATTTTACAATGATTTGATAAATGACCAGAGCTAAAGTGTATTCAAAAAGTAATTCATTAGGTACCATTAAGTGATGGACCCGTAAGCTACCTCGAGTTACAAAATTAACAAAGCCTTACTTCCAATTACTGTGGTAAAATATCGGCAATTCAGCACTGGAAAAAAAACCATATTGGATCTAGAGTCCAGACTCTTAAAAACATCGACAAGAAAAAGTACTATTGATTTAATCCGAATCTATCTTAAATCAAGAACCAAGCCTCTTAATTTTAGCGGATTTCGTTTTGATTCACGCAAAAATCCGATTGAATCAAGAGTATTTATTCTTGTAAATGTTTTCAAGAGTCTGGACTCTAGATCCAATGTGTTTTTTTTCCCCCAGTGAGAGTCATTGAGGGAAACACGATGTAAAATTTCGAGCCGACGGAATAAAATTTTCACGCCACTGTCTTGTCTTGTTTTATGGGTTTTTTTTTTTTTTTTTTTTTTTTTTTTGAAGGAAGTTGGTCAAGGTTGTACAGCTTTTTAGTCGAAAGTGATAGAAAATCGATCGATCTAGTTTCGATAGCGATATGAGAGACTTACTTGGCATGATGTGACCAAGGCAGAGATGATTTGGTACGTCGGCTCCCAGGCGTTGCCCTGTTCGGGCCGAAAAGGCATGACGATGTACTGGAGACCCAGAAGTGGTATCAGAATAAACGTAGCTCTCACGGCCTTCTTGAAACGACCGGATGGTACTCCTGGGGCTCCGGAGACCGTATTTCTTCTACTCCTGCAAATATAATGATCAGGAGAATCACTGCGAGATTCTTGTGTAAAATTCAAACTTAATATCCGTAACGCGCTAAATTTTGGATTTTTCGACCCCTCCTAACGCTTTTGCAACGTTGGTACCTTATCATTTAACATGCAAAAACAAAATGGGTGACAATGGAGATGTTGCATGTGTGAAGAATTTGCGACTTGACTGTTGATTCTTAAGTAAAAGTTCGCGAGAAACACGATGGTGCTAATGGTTTTCTCTGAAATTATCTCCCAAGCTCAAAAAAAGCTCTCAAAGTGAGGCCAAAATGGAGGGGATATCCCACCCTGGGGAGTCCCCAAATAAAGTGGCAACCATGCTAATGTATTTGCTCCCTATCTTTGCATGGAGAGATTGTCTTGATGTAGAGGTGGACTCTCAGGATAGCGTGGGATATCCCCTCCATTTTGGCCTCAACTTGAGAGCTTTTTTGAGCTTGGGAGATGATTTCAGAGAAATCCAGTGGCACCATCGTGTTTCTCGCGAACTTTTACATAAGAATCAATGGGCAAATCGCAAATCCCTCACACATGCAACATCTCCATTTCTTCGACCCACCTCCCCTTTAGAACGTTACGTACTTTATGAGCGACCTTTTACCACGAGTCAAGCAATCATGCCGACGGCACTGTCGTGATAGCGAAGAGAGCAGTAATTGTATTTCCGTATGAGCTATGATTAGCGGATGCTTTTATGTGTCTCGAAGTTTATCTCAGCATGCACTTACTGTTCTTTTCGCTATCACGGCTGGACACTTAATGCATGGACTGAAATTGCAATAACTTCTTTCCGTCTATGTAGTATAAAAATCATTCAATTTTTAGAACTGGGATGAAAATGAATGAGCAACTTACATCCTGAATCTGAAGGAAGCGTTTCTCTCCTTAACTGAACACTGTGGACTTTGAATTTGAGCAGCTGGTAGTTTTGTTAAAAGAAGACGGACTATGTTTATCAAAAATATAAGATTAGCTATCATAGAGGCACAGACAGGTCCCGACAATGTCCACGAGTAAAGTGATTCATTGATCCAACAACTATTCAAACAAAACAAAAACAAACTGGCTTTAAAAAAGTGCTGACAACAGAAAATGTATTCGGTTGACATTCATTCATCTGTTGGCATGGAATCACTCGAAATAGTATGAAGTAATCAAAGTCATCATTTGAAGTAGTATTTTTTTCCACGTCCCTAGAAACAGGGCCAAGAGAATGATTCAAAAGTTACGGATTAGCGATTTTCGTATAGAAAGAGATATACACTAAAGTGTTGAAACCTATAACTTCATAGCATAAAATTTTTTTTCCAGCAAATCTTTGTACAAGTAATGTTTATAATAACTTGCATCATATTTGCAACTGATTTTGGTTTTCTTCTATCTAATTTACTTATTTTCAAGATTTAACATGATACATAAAACCTAGCTGTTAAATCTCGAGTTTTTCTTCCATCGGATTTTCGCATTTTTTAAATGCAGATGAGTTGAGAAGAGAAATGTTTACATAACCAATAGCACCGTCATTGATGCAATGATTATATTTTTAATTTTTTCTTCTTTAGAGTCACAAAAATTTCCCCCCAGGATCCGCCACTAGGAATGATTTCGGATGTCCTCTATCAAAACAACAGATATTCTTTGTATTATCTTGGTATTTCATAATTCCTCCAATTTTGAATGATACCTACGAGTAGAACCTTGTTATGTATCATCGTATTTTGCTCCAATAATTAATCGGCGTACAGATTAATTATTTTACTGCACTTAACTCTTCGAAAAGCTTCAACAAATCTTTCCAGGGTTAATTTGGCGCTAAACAGAAACACAATGTACTGTTTTTAATTTGATTTTTCAAAATTCAACGACCCTGAAATAATTCTTGCTGTGAGTTCTTGGCTGAACAAACTGCAGTGGGAATACAAATGGCGTAGCATGCAAATTATCTGTCAACTCTTGGATAAACCACTTAGCATCGAATTATAAGGTCTCTCGAGGACGCACTGCGTTTGAAGGGGCGCCCACGACGGGAGAAGGACGTCAGAATAGCCTCGCTTTTCTGGCCAATTATAATTTCTCAGAGATGCACCACCATTTTTGTCTCTTAAAGCTCATTTTTATTCTCGAGACGGGTTTCAGAATCGTCGTGGTGCGTGAGCGTATTTTTACTTTTGCAACAAGTTCTAAAGCCAGAGCAATTGGACTACATTTTGCAATTTGGAACTATAAATTCTAGCCCGGTTCAAAAACGACGTATGTACCATTAGTTTACCTATGCACATAAGTGCTTTTCCAGGAGAGCCAGAATTTATAGTTCCAAATTGCAAAATTCAGTCTAATTGAAAATTTCATCTGTGACTTGTTAATTAATAATACAGCATAGTCAAGCAAACTGCAACGAAAACACAATGAAATCAGTGGGGAGGCGTGAATGATCGATTATTATCGATATTCCCCAATTTGAAGCCATGGTAAAGACTCGATTATTAACGTGGACACCCTGTTCATCGATCCTTTCCCATATGTTTAAATGGCAGACCAATCGATTTATCGCAAAGCAGGCCACGTCACTCAATGAAATAGAATACATGCTAATAACAATCTTAAAACTGATACTACCACGTTTTATCACAAACGTATTCCTGCCACTTAGATCTGGCCGATCATTTTTAGTGTAACATATTGCATTCTCCCATGGTGTCGGACCCAGCCCTGAAAAATTGTGCAGATCGCACCGATCACAAGTCGTAGATCACGAAAATATATGACATTCAAATTCATGTATCTGTTCATAAATATTGAGATAAAAATTACTGTATAGTCTCCTCGCGGAGGGAAGATCTGAAAAATGCGTAGAGTGTGACCAGGACAGCGGGAATGCCCCATCCGATGATGTACAAAATGGGCATCACCAGAGACTCAGTCATAAAAGTCACCACCAGAAGAGTATACAAGTAAACGCCTTCGCAGAACATCCAGAAATATGTGGCCACGAGGAAATATTGCACCATTATATGGAGTATTTGGCACCCGAGCTGAAAACAGGAGTAAATAGGTGTTAAGATAATCATTTGTTAACCACATACAATCAAGTACAGTTAAAATTTAATGGAGAGCTTCAATTTGTTTTATTTATTCGTCGATAAATGTGCCCATGACCCACTCACGCTTTCCACTCTTTTCGTATTCAATTCCAACTTTTCCCTTCATCCTTTGAAATCTGAAAGTAACATTTCCATCTTTTCTAAGGATATTTTTTTTTGAGATTGTGGAAGCGATAAAACTTAGGATTCATGAAATACAAATGCAATCATATTTCCAGAAACATGGAAATATGGACAAACTTCCGTAGCACTGAATCAGTCGGATTCCATTCTCCAATCCAATCTTACAGCATTCCTACAACAGTCTTGTAGGCGCTAATATACGTTTCACGCCAACTGACCGACTTCACTGCGTTTGGCGCAATGCAATAAGTATTCATGCAGTCTTGTAGGCGCTAAGATGCGTTCAACGCCGACCACACTGTTTGACGCAATGCGTGAAGTATTCCTGAAGTCTTGCAGGCGCTAATAGAAGTTTAACGGCGGCCGCACTGTGTTTGGCGCGATTATATGAGCTCGCGTTGCGGCATCGAATAATAGAGCTCAAAAAATACATATTTTCTCAACGAACGAGATAGAATTTTATAAATTCATGATAACTAAAACATTTTTTAAAGGCTCTGTGACAAGCAAATCTTGCAATAAATTGCTAGAGTCCGTTTCAGATTACTTTTCCACTATTTTTGTATGTAATTCCCAATCGCGCGCATACAGCAAAAGAGGGAAAGTAATCTGAAATGGGCAGTAACTTTATTAGGTTCAGGTGAACTGAATGCCCTCGCACATTGCGTGTTACACGGTTGATAACGACTGTCTAGATATATTCGTCCGTGAAATCTGATTAAATCTAATCCTGGTCCTAGGTGGTGATCTGGTGAATCTAATTCTGTTTAGAAAAAACTGATTTTCAAAACTTCAAAGTTTTGGTGAAGAGCTTGTCGCTGAAAATGAATTAATTTAATTTACAAATGACGAATTTCACGATCCTTTAATGCTGATTCTTTGTTTGTCGTTGTGTCACCACAGAAGAAGAAATCAGAGATATGTCTATGAATCATGAGTCGGAAATTTCAGTGTTCGAGTTTTAGGAGCCATCTGGCGCATCAAGCCCGATTTTTAGGCGCCATTGAAGATTTTTTAGGGGCCAAATTGACTTGTTGCCCATATGTTACGGCGCATTTAGTGAAAAGTTAGACGCAAAATGTTTTCGTAACAGAACTAATAAGTAGTTGTAACTTGAGGAAGACAAAAGCACTAAGAATGAAATCGTGAGGAATAGAAAAAGTAAGCTTTCACTTGTAGTAGTTGTAGTGCTGAAAATTCCGAGTTCTTTCAATTCAAATACATTTGTTTTTCTTTCTTTATGTGACTTCCTGTGGAAATCCAGATTTTTAGGAGGCAATTTTTAGGGGTCACGTTGGCGCAGAGCCTTCATTTTTTAGGCGACATGGGCGAATTTTTAGGCGCATTTGGCGCGTTGGCGCCTGTGAGTTTCGAACACTGGACATTATCCACAGAACTCACCCCATTAGCCATGAGGACAGGCAAGTTATCCACCACTGCCTCGTACCATAGCAACCACAAAATATTATTCACAGCCAGAGAGATAAAGAGGTTTTTGTGGATTTGTATCCTCGTACATGTCAAGGATCTGGAACAAATTACCGGAGGAAAAATCAGTATTATGCCAACAAAACAATACCAAGCATCAGCATTTCCTAAAAAACAAAAAAACTTATGCGATCCACCAGGGGGACCATAATTCTCATCCTTGCATCATTCACCGGCGCTAAGTCGCTAAGTCGAGGAAAGCTGTGTCTCTTCTTAACTCTTCCCTTCAAAGGAGGCTTATAGAATTTCAATTAAGTTGTCAGTCATTTTCCGGGTTGTATAGGTTGACAGAGAACTTGTTTCCCTCGTCCTAATTTAAGCTCCGGTAGTTTTTAGCATGCAGTTCATTCATCGGATACATTAATTTTTCACTTCCTCAGTCAACTAATTTATAAATTGGAGTTAGGCCGACGTCGGTGCGCAGCGCGGCGGAATTGCAAAATTATGCAGCGAATATAAATTATATAAATTATAATTCATGGTCTCAAGGCAGCTAGGTCCCGCAAACGCATTTCAAAGCAACTTTTTCTCAAACGCGTCCCGCTGCTCTATGCCCTGCGGAGGGATTTTAAATAAGAGGTAGGACGTTGTTGCAATTTGCGCTACGCCGCTCGCTGCGTTGTGGCATAATTTAAGGTGCAAAATACCATAATTAAATACATATATGAATAAAATGAAGAGATATCTCATGCTTAAAATAAAAAAACCACATATGCAAAAATGATGCGAAAGGGAGAGAAAAATATCATTTTTTAATTGTTTTGTGTAAGTGGTAGGACCATAATTTTCTCCCGTGTGGTTCCGATACGAACGTAATGACGCGTCAATCAATCGCATGAGTTCATTTTTTTGAGAACAATTTAGAACAATACCAAATGTAAATAAATAAACATTAAATTTAGTTTTACTTGAAATCGTTGATATTACAATTCTTTCAAAAACTATACACTTATGCGCCCTTGTCCTCCAAGCCCCTCAAACATGCTCAGAGAGCGATGAGTTTTCTACTCAAATGGTTTTACCTCTTTTGAGTTACGGATCCATCATAGTAATTTTACCACGGGAAATCATTTTTTGTTCTTAATTGGTAAATGGAACCACGGTGCATTACTGTGTGGGTGCAGTTGTCTATAGCATTTTTTAAGAGGCACTATATTTCAGTAATTTGGAACGCAGATTATTTTTCGGTCAGTTTTCTCCCGTCTCTTTTCAAAACCCGTCTCGCTTTGTTTTGTATCTTAAAATTACCAGAGACGGTGTGTCTTCTTCCGTAATGTTTTTTTATTTATTTCCGAAATTATTCAAACTGACAACGGTGGCCGCGGAAGTACTGAGGTAAAAACAATGACAGATGAGTGCATTACAGATAAGAACGATGCCATTGGGGAATGAAAGCTCCGGATCGACGGACGGACAGCGCCTTCGGCAGTGGTGCATGCATACACCTTCGTCGAGAAAAACGGTCGGTTTCGGTGGTCTGTCCCAAAGTTAAGCAAGCAAAAACCTGTATTACACTGGTTTATAATTGACGAGATCTACTCAATTTGTGTGTAGGTTTCAGAGAAATTTTTTTTCTTTATTTCATTTATTTTTTTTTTAATTTTAATTTTATGGAATTTATTTTTTTAGCGTCTTATTTTAGTCGCGTTCAGCAGCTATTTCAGGTAAATTTAAGGGCATTCTCTAGCAATTTGAAAAATGATGCAATTTTTAAACATTAATGTCTTTAAGACATTCTGCATTGATACAAATAACTCTCTACATATATTGAGTCTTTCTATTTAAGATCTCTTTTTCCCTCAGACATCGCATTTAAAGCTAATGAAAAAAATTAATTATCTTAAAGATTTGTCTTTATATGGACCGCACTATTACTGAAGATGGCAGCGCAGACGAACTGGTGAAATGAGGTAACTCGATTTTTAGCTTACAAAATAAAGCCTAGTGCATGATAATGTATCTAGAGGAGGATGTATAGATAAAGAGCTTGCTGAATTTTAGGATACAGCCAGTGGTAAGTAAAATATAATACAGTTTCCCTCCCTCAGGGCTGCAAATTTAGGAAACAGACAAACGATTAAAGTTTAATGATTTATTTTTAACTTTTAGATTGATAGGGCTGTCGCAGGGTTTCGTCTGGGAGATTCGCTGCGTTCATTCAGAAACTCAGTCTGAAAAGTTTACTCTAACTTTAGGAAACTTTTTGCTCTCCCATCGGGACCAATAGCAGGGCCACATTAATCCCGCAAATTTCAAGAGTGGTGCTCGTTGAATCAACTGTGGCGAAAGGCACTTGAATAGGTATCATTAACTGCTTTTAAGAGTCTTCATTTACTTAAGATTATGAATCACTACATTCGTACTGTAATGAAACAGTACAGAAAGGGGATCTTACTTAGTTTCATTGAAACTTTAATTAGAATATTGGGTGACACGGAAAAATATAAATTTCAAATTATAAAATATGATACGTGGTGATGCAGCTTTAACTAAATGGAATTAGGATTCAAAGACTCCAATATGAATTTTTATTGGAAAAACTTACATACTGATAGAGATAGCCTATTTTTCTTACTTGAAATAGAAAAAGATGACAATAGAGACAGTCAGTGCTACTATAGACACGCAGTAGCCAGATTTGTAGATGAGGTTAACTTGATTCCTCAGCTAGAACAGAATCAATAGATTTCATTTTTAATGTACACAATCAATTTACTTCAAAATTAAACCGTTGAATCTCGGTGATAAAACGCACAAATTATTGTCCAACTGTCAAAAAGTCTCTGCCAATGCGTGTTATTTCAAAATAATCTCATTCCAAAAATTATATTACTTCATGATGCACTTCTCTTGGAAGTTTGGACAATATTTACACCAGATAACCAAGGAAAAATATTAGCAATACATCCAAGAAGTAATCGTACTGAAATCACAACTGAGTGCAAGATAAACATTATAATCAACATGAAAGGATTAAATATTCATGTAATTAAGACTTAATTGATTTATTTTACTCTCTCTGCCGCAATCTTACCGCATGCTTACTTTGACTTCAAGCGAGTGTAATTTTTTAATTTGACTTGTTGCACCCACCGGCGTGGCAGTCCAGTAATGCAATTACGTTGCCCGTTAGTTCAACTCCGTTTCTTTAATGCTATGCGCTCGTAACTTGAGCACTGAGTGTAATTGTCTTCTCGCTATATGTTTCAAATTATACTGTACGCATGTTGCAGCAACGACTTGCTTCGAATAGTGTCCCTCTTTAAAAACAAAAGCTTTTGAAAATGAGTGTCTCTAATTTTTATATTTGCATTGCGCAAAACAATGATGGAAAGTAAGCCTTTCTGAACTTTTGAAAACTCCACTTTATATTTTATAGTTTTTACTGTTATAGTTGGACATAGCTCAGCAAAAATGAACCAAATTCATTGCAGCGTTAATTTCAAAATTGTTGGACCACTTTTTCACCGTAAAGAAAACCAAATGCATGTACTATGATGAAGATTTCAGGATCTGTTTCACTTAAAACTAACAATTTTTTTGTAGAAAAATCAAATCTGTTCAAAGTTTTGAGTGTTTCCCAGAAGAAGAAAAAATTGGACGATTTTGAAACCTTAATGGAGTTTGTTCCTTTCTGCTGAACGCTGTTCAATTTAAATCTAATGCAGTTTTCTGATGGAATTTTCAACAATTGGATTGAAGTATCAGTCTACGCGAATTTTTATGAAAAATGTTACCGACTGTTTTCGTATATGCTTTTTCAATTGACTTAATGCACCTAGTATGACGAGATTTTCCAACCATTTAATACAAAATAAACAGACTTTGAGTAAATTGGTGTTTTTTTATTTTTTTTATATATTTATTTCTTCCAATCGCAGTATTACCTTATAATCGTCTAAATCTATACAAGTGGTGTAGTTGGACCATGTTTTATTGCTATCAGGATGTCTAAACCACGAGCCATCATCCAAACATATCCTTTGAGCTAACCCTGAAACAGGAAAAATCGAATTTATCGTAGAATTTTGCTTGTCATCTCGTTAAAAAATATGAAATGAGAAGCAGACAGCCATTGTCTGATGTGTTCAAGCTGATTTTGGTTGAATCGATCCAGTCCATTCATAACAATTCGAGTAAAACACAAAACTAATCGCAGAAAGGTTTTTTACAATCTGCAAAGTTTTCCGTCTTTTTAAACACCGGCTGATTTGGCAACAATGAGAAGACGTTGACAAGACGGCAACGCCGCACCAGGTGATTTTATCGCCTCCGAAAGGGAGACTTTACTGCCTCTGTCTCCTTAATAAGCGCTCTGCTAATTTTGGAAAGTAGAAATAAACTTTAACGTTACGTGAAAATAATTTAGTGAGCTTTGAGTTTATCGTTGTCAATATGAGGACGACCCTGCCGGTATGTCTCGTGAATAGCACAGTACGAGAAAGCTAAGGCTCAAGCGATTCGGTTGTTTTACGTCGTATGTTTATACTGTAATCACTTCTATGTTCTGCAATATGCATTTTCTGGAAAAGCGTAACTGTACCAAATGAAACAGTAAGCAATATTCAAAATTTTGGATGTTTCAAAGAAAAACATCGGAGTTTCTTTACTAATCGGCTGATTTTAAATTTCCACGGCTTGTTTGAAATCTAAGAAGCTTTCTGTCCGGTATGTGCTGTCAAAACTCCCCAAAACATTCAAAATAAGCAAGATGTATGTAGGGCTGTGCAGCTCCTCTTTTGTTCTCAGAGACTGGTATTGAATTTTTTATTATCATCTTCATGGAAAAAAGAGAGAAAGAAAAATAAAAATTAAAATGAAATGTCTGCAAAGGAAAAATAAATAATAATTACCTCTTTATGATGTTCGTACACTCATTCTGAGAGAAAAACTGAAATAAACCATGAACCACGATATTACCGTAACTTTCGTAATTTGTCTTAAGCGTGCTTCCGTAAAATACTCCTTTAAAAAAATGGGCCAAAATTATATAAAAACTCACAGTCTCATGTTGTATAATTCATTAGAATTGCTGGATTCTAATACTGATATCAAGTGTCATAAATGGATTGCATCTTGCAAAAAGGAACCACTAGCATTGCAATGTTGCTAAGATTGTGCAACTTCTTTTGTCTTGGAGGGCCGATTATCCCGATTATCCATTAATAGTTTCTATTTTACTCGCTAAAAATTGTAAATTTAAGACAAAAATTACCATCTAAATTTCATTGTTTTTCACGATTTCCGCAATTTTATTGCAAAAGATGAAGTTGCACAATCTTAGCATCATTGCAATGCTAGTGGTTCCTTCTTGCAAAATGCAATCCAAATGATACTCGTTAATCATAAAATTTGGCCCACTTCTTTTTGACTAGATTCAGTTTTGAATAGCCACAAAGAGGTTCTAGTTTCAACGAAATAAAATAAGTGACTCACGTTTTGGATCGAATCCGTAAATGAAATAGGGACAGGGAAACTGTGCGACATGCCCCGCAGGAGTAGCAGAAATGCATGTCCACCCGTCGAATTCTTTCGGACACAACGGCACTTGGCTCTCTGAAACAGAATTTCTGTATGAACATAGGTTACAGTCACTCCATGGTGTCAATGGAAAAATTCAAGCAAGCGTCATTGCAAGTTTTCACGATCGAATGAAACAATTTTATATTTATTTTCCTTTTCCTCGTGCGATATGTAGATGATTTTGAGGAAATTGCAAGGCTTCAGCAAAATCTACACGGGTTATAGGACGTTTTGTTTACCATTTTTTTTCCGCGCACCTCTTTTTTCTAGTAGTTTACGTCCACGCGTTTATACGGCAGGGGAGTTTTCGTCCTTTTACCAACTACTAAGAACCTTACACTTATAATTGCTTGGAGCGGCGCGGCGCGGTGGGTGAGGGCGACCAACGCAACCTGTGCATTGGCGCCTACAAACCTAACAGGGATACTTCACGCGTTGCGCAATGCGCGCATGGCGCCTACAAACCTAACAGGGATACTTCACGCATTGCGCAATGCGCGCATGGCGCCTACAAACCTAACAGGGATACTTCACGCATTGCGCAATGCGTGAAGTATCCCTGTTAGGTTTGTAGGCGCTAGTAAGTGTGTCGCGCTGGCAGCATGCCGCGCCGCTCCGCTCCGTGTAACTCTGTGTTTAAACTTGCGGAGTCATCGTATTTCACCTTATGATTTTGAAATGTTTTCAACATTCTCATTTAAATCGATAAAAAAAAAAAAAAAATTGTATTTAAGGAAAATATACCGTGTGTTTTGAAAAAAATTAAGTTGACTCTGTCAACTTTAATGATTCCCAAAGCATTTTCATGTTTGTTTTTATATTTTGTGCTCTTACTGAGCTGTACAGTGGTGCACGCCTAAACAAACGCTCAAAATTGGAAAAAATAAAATGGCGGCGGAAATTTTGAAACGTCGCATGGCGTTTTTGATACTTTGGCCGAAAGGTAACGATATGAGAACCATTATCCTCTCAGAATATTATTCACAGTGCTTTTAAGATTGAATCTGAAAGTGTTTGAATGTGTGAAGATGTGCCTGGCGTCGCTCTCAGAAAATGATTTGTCGTAGCTTGCACTTTCGCAAAATACGCGAATATTCATCTTAAGTAAGTACTTCCGGCTGCAGCCGACTCGTCTAACGCTAAGTCATCAATCATTGCGCTTCCATTGGCCTCCATCACCGGCACAATTTATCTGATGAGAGTGAGCGGGTAACCGCTTGTTCTTAGTCGAAATAAGTGAAACTCACATCAAAACTTGTTAATACCTTTCATGGGCGAAACTGAGAGGATACCGAGAGGAGGGAAGGCGGGTTGATCCCTCAGATATTTACTTGGTCCCTCTAGAAAATGTAAGGTAATTTGCAAAATAACTGCGAGAAATTTCTATTTTTGAAGCGCTCAATGGATAGGGAGCGCTTTTTGCATTCAACGTGCCTCTAGAATTCTATTATACTAGTGGCAATACGTTCAAATGACGCACCAGCTCGTCAACAAGATGGCGGAGGGAGACCTAACATATTTAGAACAGATTAATCTGTGATACCTTTATTGAACGTTTCTAATGTTAAAGCTCGGAGGAAGATAATCGTTTTTCTATATTTTCATCTCTCTAATTTTTTATCTTTATTTTTTTTTAGTGGTAGTGTAGTTTTCTCAAAACCGGTAGTTGAACTTTGGTGAGTGAGTTTTTTCATCTCAACGGTGCTCATCCTCTTTGGGGAACTAAAAACGCGCTTACGTAAGGGCGTAACTCCATTTCCACGTGAGCCCTACTTCACTTATAAATCCATACTTTCTGGGGATCATGCGAAAATCGAGTTACGCCCTTACGTCAGAGAAGCGATGATATAGAGGGGAACTAAGCGGTCCTGCATTAAAAATGTATTAGAACTTTTCCGCTTGTTTTTTTTTTCGGTAAAACAGCTAAAAACCACCCTTGAAAAGTTTTCAGTACCAGCCACTAGTTGTGGTGACTACCTAGCTTTTTCCCGTCTTTCTAGAAAGTCCCAAGTAACGGGAACTCGTGCTTTAGCATCTAAATCGCTCTCTTGGTATGCCTGCACGTTTAAAGAAACGCGCGAAGAACGAGATGCAAGTGGATTTAAGACGTGCCGGCTAGTGCATGGCTTGCCCATCCAATCAGACGTAACATAACTTTTCATGAGCAGCCGTAATTCGGATGTATTTTCCATGGTTTACAACTCGCCGCTGAAAATTACCCGACTAAAGATTCACTTAGGAAATTCGGTATTTTCCCACGAACTGGCAACGGTTACATCCTAAACTAGTTGGAGAACATATCAACGGCAAGTAGAGAATCGTGTCTGGTTCTGAGCATTCTCACTGCAGAATTTTCATTTCGCCCGGATGGAAGTGAGGGCAACGAAAAACGTCGGAATAAGAGACCTGCTTGATTTTGTTAAGAGATTTATCGATGGAAATTGAAAAACAGTAATTCCCAAAATATATACAGGGTATTCTAAACCACACGTGCCAGGCTTTGTTGTCAGTTCTTTCAGGTTGGAAGAATTCGGGCACAGCGGAGGTGAAGAGGGAGTAAAGCTCAAGAGATCCGAATTTTATCGTCCTCTGCGGCCCCCTCCTCCAGGCCCTTCTTCGAGAATAAAAGAGGGATCCTCACTTTAAAAGTCGGTGCTTGCGTTAAATTTTGATTTTATTCCTTTGAGGTCAAAGAGTGCTGCAATTTAACCTGAATGGCTATCTAGAAATCCAAAATCGGCCGTTCATAAACAACTAACGTCACTAACGGCTTAACTTACGTCTTGTTCACTAAACTAACGTTGGGGCTCGGAAAAATATGTTTTCATGGGTAATCGCCTCTAAAAAATCTGAATTTGACGGTCTCGTAGCCCCTTCCTCCAAGACTTTGCTGACGGGGAACATGAGGAAACCATGATCCATGATACATGCCCCACCAGCGAAGCTTTGAAAGGGTTATGGGATTATTAAATCTGGATGTTTTGGGATCGATTACCCATGAAGACAACTTTTCTTCCGCGCCGTCACCTGAATTCAGTGAGCTTACATTTTTTTGAGGGAGATTCTGTGTCCCGCCATATTCAGGGGCATTAATTCGGACACGGATGGGCCGATGGACTACTAGACAAGGTACGAGTTAAAGGTTTCTGATACATGTTTCTTAACCAGAATTTCACGTACAGGACGATTCGCGCAATGAAAATTACTGAAACCAACTCCTAACGAAGATATTAACGATTTTATTTCACATTGGTTACAAGAAATTTGAACTGCCCGCTCACAAGAAACTCAAAGCTCTACGTGAGTCAAATCGCGCACCACAACGGTTTCAGCAAGCTTTTCATTCGAGCAATGTTCATTTCCCATCATGTGTTGTTCAAACCACAAGAAATTTGCTATAGCTGAGCCAAACCGTCAAGATTGAGGTTTTCAGATTTTTATATCGCAGAGACTATCATGATAACGTTCAGCGCGCGTTGTGAATCACGCAGAGCATTGAGTTTTCATGAGCGGGCGGTTTGAATTCTCGCATCAAGAATCATTAAATATCTTCAGAAGGAGTTGATTTCGGTAATTTTCGTTGTGCGCATCGTGTTCTACGTGAAATTTTAGTCAAGAAACATGTATCAGAATGCTGCAATTCGTACCTTGTCTAGTGGTCCATTGTGGATTGCTTCATATCGATAAGGTTTTGATTTTCCGTAATCTTTGATTCCGATTAAATAATTTCAAACTTTTGACTTAACTTCAACCTCTAAAGTAAGAATCCCCCTTTTACTCATTAATGGTGACCGGATGGGGGGGGGGGGGGGGGGTTCGGCTCCTGGGCGATAAAAAAAATAGTCGCTATAAAACAGCCGAGTAAGAACCACGAACATTTTCAGCAATCATTGAAGGAATGTTGGCCAATTTTTCGATTCGGTATTCTCTAAATTGAGTCTGTTCTGCGCGTAGATTATCATCATTATTCTTTAATAATAAAACTAAGTCGGACGACAAAAAGAATAAAAAATTAAGTTTGTGGAACTTGCCTGACCTGTCACATTGTGGGGCACTTTTTCACATGCTTCCTCTCTTTCCTTTATCAGTGCTTCTGACGAATGACCATCGTAAAAGCTGACCATTTATCTGAAATCAGAAATACAAATGTAGGAAATCAGTTCTTTTCGACAAACGATAGATAAAGAATGAAGACTCAAATAATCATCATCAGACTATGCACTCAAATCATCCAGGTTACTCATCATTGAAATTACTACTACTCTTTGTTCCAGAAGTCAGTAAAACACTTGGTAGGGTTTATTTTTCGTATTAAAATCCGCAAAGAAAGAATCCTTCAAAGAAACGCTCAATTACAAAAATCGTCGCCCATAGTTCAAATGGATTGCATTTTGCAAAAAGGAACCAAGATCATTCCACTGTTGCTAGGATCGTGCAACATACATTCTTTGCAATAAAATTACTGAAATAATAAAAACAATCACATTTACAAATGGAATATTCGTTTTGAATTCATAGTTTATTGATAGTAAAGATGATACTTCTATTGATGATCAGTTGGACGTATTTCTATCAAACGGAACCATGTGCATTGTGACGTGAGCCCTGTAATGCATATTTACTTATGGGTCTCAGGGATCATGTCTTAATGCACATAGTTCCGTTTGATAGAAATACGTCCAGTTTATATTTGCAGGGCAAAGAAAGTTGCACCATCATAGCAACATTGGAACTCTCCTGGTTCCTTTTTGCAATATGCAATCCAAATATGAACCAACACATAACCATGTTTCCGATTCGCACCCTATGTACCGTGGTTGTGAGATGCGACCAAGCGTTTCTAACAATCAAAATTTCTCGTGTTTAATGAGTCCTTAATTGATTTATGACCGGTCAATAACTAAATTGTAATAAATTCACACAATTAACTCATGGCGAAGGATTCGCACATGAGGTTATGTTAGTTTGTTTTGGTTTTGAACCAACACTAAAAAAAATTCTCGGCGTTTTTACCAAGGTCTGTTGGTACCTTTACCATCTCACTTTTTTTACCAATTATTGATAATTTTACTAACACATACTGGTAAGCTTACCTAAAAACCGGTATTTTTACTGTTTTTTTTTTCCAGGTAAGAATTTTATTGACCACTTTTTTCAGGACTACGTTTGTTGGTAATCAATTCCCGGTAACTTTGCCATTTTATCTTGGTAATTCTACCAGAGTCGATAAAAAATATTGGCGTTTTTACCGGGGCCCAGTAAAATTACCAATTCCATAAATTGTAATTTTACCAAGAAAAAACTGGGATCAAATAGAACCCTGAATTCTTGGTAATTTTACCCTTTTCTTAGTAAATACACCGAGATTTTTTTTCAGTGAAGAGTTCGATAGTACATCGAATGACGTAGTCACTAAATCAGCCTGTAGCTCCATGTTCCGATATACATACCTTTCCCTATACAAGCACTGTGTGGTTCAACAATAAAATGCACGTTGTAATACTAAGAGACCGACCGAAAGATAATAGCGCTTTCGACGACAATAGCCATCTTTCACTTAGTTCTTCCGCGAGATGCGAGATATGAGGCGGCCGAAGATCTGTAGACGTGTCGACGTGGACTCGGAATCTCCGTCAGCTGGTTTCCGGCTGCGTTTATGTTTAATTTCCGTTCAAACTTTTATCATTTTTTCCCCGAGGTCCCACGGCGCGCCGATCGCTAATCGCACCCGAAATCCCGAGACAGCGCCGGAAAACTCGTCATCACGTTGCACCGTCCGGCAACAGCGCTCTCGGCTCTTATCAACATTAGAACTTTTGTTTTCTTGCTCGGAACCACCCTCTTCTCTCTCTCTCACTTTTACGGAGCGACTCCTCCACATTTTCAACATGCCAGTGATTTGCGGTTCCGTATTCTCAGTCGATCCTGGTATATAATGCAATTGGACGCATTTCTGTCAAACGGAACTAAGTGCATTGTGACGTGAGCCCTGTAATGCATATATTCTTACGGGTCTCGGGGCTCATGTCTTAATGCACATAGTTCCGTTTGATAGAAATGCGTCCAATTGACTCGGAGCGCAACTCAATTCGGAGTGTACACGTTTGCTGATAAAACTGGAGAACGGGGAACCTGCTTTCAGTCCCCGCTCTTAAAAAGCTAGTTTGTTGAACTGGAAGGATGGGAGCCTGGGATTGGTCAAGATTAAAGGGATCTTTCGGGGAGCTGGAGGATCAGTGTGTAGATGAAACATGAAACAAGGATGAGGGAACGATGGTTTCAGCTTATACTCAATGAGCGTCTTCCTTTGCCGTTTCTGACGATAAAATTAAGGGAGATTGAATCTGAGCTGCGTTAATCTTTCAAACGCGCAGAGCGACTGCGTTTCGTCTCCTTTAAGCAGCACTAATGACTATACTTTAATGTGAACATCTTCAATATGAGAGGTATACTTGTACCCGCTATCGTTCTTAACATTGTGAACATTTTTGTTATGTATTCGAGTTCCAGGCTGAACGATATTTACACGCGCTGAAAATCTAGCCCCGCTAAGTGATACAAAAGTTCCCACTATTTCGTTTCAATTGACGAGCCGCCTGAATAGGAACTAGAAGATGAACTGTAGGTAGAATACGGTTTATACGTTGATCGTTTTCGAATCCATCTCACACGAAAGAAACTTGCGTTTTTTATGTTAGTTCATTCAAATTGTAAGAAAATACCGTAGATTTATTTTAACCAAATCGAGCGTCAAAATAATTTCTGCTTTTTCCACGATTGAAGAGTTTTCTCCGAGTGTTGAATTTTTTTTAAGAGTGCTTAAGATAGGAGAGACGTAGTTAGGTTTCGTTCTTTAACTTTTATCCCGAATTTCTGAGTGCGGCATTACGCATCGCGGGCGATCAACGCGACACGCGCATTGACGCCTACAAACCTAACAGGATACTTCACGCATTGCGCAATGCGTGAAGTATCCCTGTTAGGTTTGTAGGTGCCAGTAAGCATGCCGCATGCCGCGCCGCTCCGCTCTGTGTTTAAACTCGCGGGGTCATCGTTTTTCACCTTATGATTTGAAATGTTTTGCCACTATTCGTATTTAAATTTATGAAGAAAATTGTATTTTAGGAAAATATAATGTAAGTAGGAAATACATTTTTGTTCTTCAGTTAAATTACTTGAAGAAATGTAACCATACATTTCCTGAAATTCATTTCTTCTCTTTTTTTGCCATACGGCACAGCCTCCACTAATATATAGACTGCAATTTGCAATTTGGACCTATAAATTCTGGCTCATCTGAAAAAAACACTTATGTGCATAGGGAAACTAATTGCACATACGTTGTTTTTAAACCGGGCCGGAATTTATAGGTCCAAATTGCAAAATGCAGTCCATATGATATTTCATATTTTAGACTTTTAAGGTCTAAAATAAATATTTCAAGGTGATAACTTAGAGACTGCAATTTCTTATTATATTTTAGATATTCATGTGGTTTGCCATTGCCCTTACTTGAACTTACAGGAGGTGGGGAGAGAGAATGAGAACAATACAAAAAAATACATATCTTACAATGTATGAGTTAGCGATTAAGCGTGAAATCCATTATTTAACGTGATGGAGCCACTTAAGCCTTGGAGCCTCTCAGTTCTTAAGGTATGTGAACAGTTCAGAAATCTATAATATCACATAAGAAATGTTGGATGTTCTGCAGCTTGAACCAAAGAGAAAACAATAGTTGCAATATGAATTGCGGGCCGAATGGCACATCCTACTTTTATGAGTTTTCTCTGATTGGCTGATTCGACTGGTTCCCACTTTCTGGGGCCCTTACGGAAAATAACATGGGGTCCATGTTCCATTTTAAATATCTGGAATGTAATGGAGGCCCTATCGCTTTTAATGCTTAGATAAAATGACATAATACTTTCAACAACCCCCCCCCCCCCCCCNGTAACGTTTTTTATGAATGACGGCCTCTGAACTCGATTTCTCGAAAAATCGCGTTGCTGACCTTCTGCTAATTCTTATATTCTGTCTGTATAGTGGTCCATTATTAAAGGGCCATTTCGCATTGAGTCTCCGAAAAAATTGAGCGATAAACGTGTGAGCACTTTGACGGTGTAATTGGATCTACAGAGCGTCGACTCCAACAGCCTCTTCCGAAGGATAATGTTTACCGAGGACAAACAGGAACCATGATCGATAACGGTCTTGATTTGTCAGGAGCAAGCGTAAAAATAAACGCGGCACACCGTGTAAGCTATCTCCTCGGAGTGTCAAATTGCCTCGAGGCTTGTGCCTTATCCCCGCACGCGGCGAGAACATTAATTTCGTCGATTTTCCAGACCGCTCTCTCAAAGTCTTCGGTGAAAAGAAGGATTGAAAAAATTAAATTAAAGTGTTTTTTCTTCGGGAGAAAATAAAGTCAATAAGACGCGGAGCGACGAGAAAAGTCAGAGGAAGAGAGGACCAGGAAAAAATGCAGACAGTCTCGGTGAAGACATTTTATAGCATACGAACATGGTACTTAAAGAGCAGAAGATTGATGACATGGGCCGGAACGTTAATTTTTAATTTTATATCGCTATCAAAGAAACTTCATTTTTGAAAAAAAGAACGTAAAGTAATTTTAAGATGAAGTCTATGATAGTATGCCTAACAAATTTGACCCCGTGGTCGAATCATTTCTAAAAAAACTGGGAAAATGTAGAAGTTTTGGTAGCCTTACTTTTAATATATCGCCAATGTTTGTCGGAGAGTCTGTAGGCTAAAGACACCTCCCTCAATAAAACTTTTCTCGGTGCAGAAAAGCTTATGCAATTTTAAGGAAAAAGAAAATTTAAAATCAATGCACGAATTTTATCTTCCAATATTTTTTCCAGTGTTCATTGCGACAGAAGCAAGAATGAGAATAAATAAGAATATTTGTGATGGAACAAATGAAGGGCTCGGAGGACAAAGCGCATAAATGCAGTTTTTGCTATCTCGAGAAATACGTGTTTGAAGTTTCGAAATTACATGGATCTTTACGGCGGAAAGGAAGTTCAACCCGATTTTTTGATGCTTATAAATTGGATTTTGGGAGTGAATTTTTCACAGAATATGCATGGAGACTAGTATTACTT